ATTCCTAAAGAACCAGCAGCCCATCCGACGAATATGGTGAGTTATGTGGATGGTTGTCAGCTCCCTTTCCTGCCTAGAAATCCTGAAACTGCTTCTAAATGCTGTTCCCTTCAGCTCTTGGACACCTACTGACACAGAGCTGGGAAAAAAATGCCCTGGCCCAGCTCCAGCCGTTCCCTCGGCTCCTGTCCCTGCTCACCTGGGCAGAGATCAGAGCTTGCCCACAGAAGCTGTGGCTGCCCCTGGATCCCTGGAAGTGTCCAAGGCGAGGTTGGAAGGGGCTTGGAGCAGCCTGGGATAGTGGAAGGTGTCCCTGCCATGGCAGGGGGTGGAATGAGATGAACTTTAAGGTCTCTTCCAAGCCAAGGCATTCTGTGATTCTGTGATTTTGGGAGAAATGCTGAAGCTCTGGTTCAGCTTTATCTCAGCAAATGTCTGGAGCCAGCAGCAGCCATGGGTGGGATCATCTCCTCCTCCCTCTCGCTGTGGCTGTAACTCACCCAAGGGCAGTGTCATAAATGAAATTGAAATTTGGACAGCTAGGGCTATTGTGTTAACAGCAGTTTAATAACAAGAAAAAAAATGATACAATTTAGTGAATTGAATACAACAAAACAATTTAATAAAAGAATACAATTTAGTGGATTGAATAGCAATTTGATATAGGAATATAATTTAGTAAAAGAGTACAATTTTTATATATATATATATATATATTCATATATATATACATATATATATATGAAAAAATTCATATACATATATACATATATATGAATATAGCTTGCCAGTAATTATGATTAAAGCATAAGCAAGACTGACTGGCATACAGGGACGGCTTCTCACCCTGCCTCAGGTACAAAACAAAGCAATTCAAACTAAACTTATATGCTTATACATATTCATTCATGTTTCCAGTAAGTCTCCTCCAATTTATGATTCTTTAGTTGTGTATCACTGTTCTTCATGGTGCATGCTTCACTTGTTGCTAGAAGGTCTTCAGTCTTCTTTTGGTGGTCTCTGGACGAAGGCTTACACTCATCCTCGTTGTCCTCTGGATAACCTCACAGGCTGTGTGTGTGTATTAAGTGTTGTGTTATGTAAGTGAGCATTGTGCTCCACTAATTAGTCTTACCCTTCATAATGTTCAGGCCCTACGCCTAAAGTCGTTCCAACTTTATCCTTCTCATGGTCAGTTTTCTCTTGGGACATTTCTTATCTCAAAACTACATTGCCTATCTTAATTTTAACATGTAACATCTGTAAAGGGGTACATCTGCTTTGTAACACTAATTCCCTTGATTGCTTCTAATAATAACTAATTTCAAATAATAACTTTCCAAAAACTTACAATTTAGTTAACATGAATCATTTCCATTTATCACAGGGGGATTCACGGAGCACATCCTGATGGATGAGGAAAAGGAGTGAGGAGAGCTGAGGGCTGGAGAGCAGCTCTGAAAGACACTAAACTCCTACCAGACTTCTGAAACATTGCTGTTCTTCAGCCAGTGACAGGATGAGTCCCTGAGACTGGGGCTTGGCCTTCCTCGTGGTGAGGGGCATCAAGGAAGGCTGCAGTGTGATGGAGACTGTGATGGGCTGGGAACTCACTGGGGGAAAGGAGGGAGCAGTTGTGAAGTAAAAGGCAGGTGTGGGGACAGAACTGTTCAGAGAAGGGCTGAGCTACAGCTTGAGCAAGATGAAAAATGTCATTAGGGGTCATCCCAGATGGATTTCATTTCAGAAGTTATTGAACAAGTTTAATTTTTGGGGGGTGTCATCTTTTCCCTTGGAGGTGGACACTGTGCAGACTTGAGCTGCATTGCCAAAATGCTCAGGTCTCTGCTGCAGGTCACAGCGTTTCTTCTTTGGCTGATCCCGGCCCGGTGCTGAGCCCAGCAGAGCCCTGGCAGAGCCCAGAGCAGCCTCAGCATCCGCAGAGCCCGGCTGCAAGGAGAGAAAGCAGAAACCGCCCGTCAGCTGAAGGCTCCTGTCCCCTTGTCCCAGCCAGCCGCGGTGCCCAGGCCATGCTGGCCGTGCTCAGAGCTGGGCCCAAAGCTGCCCATCACTGCTGCCTTGGGGAGCAGAGCAGGAGGGCAGGACATGTGCCCAGCCTGCAGCCAGCCACAGCAGATCCAGCCCCTCAGCAGCTGCCCAGAGCGGGATGCTCCTGTGCCCGCTGCCATCTCCCAAAAGCTCTTGTCCCACCCATGCCAAGGAGATGAGGACCCACCTCACACCATCCGCTGCCACAAGAAAAGCTGGTCCCAAACGATGTCCTCAGTCCTCTCCAAGGGCACGGCCCATCCACGCCACAGCTGGTCCCAAGCACTTCCTGATCCAGACTGGACCCCACCTAGAACGCTTCCTTTAGAAAAACAAACAACAAATTAATGAAAATAGGTAACAGACAAAAAGGGGAAACAAGAAAAATGGTAAAAAATCTTATGTCTGTCAGGAGCTTGAGGAAGGCCCAACCCCTACATTCTGGGGAAAAACCCACCCATGGCTGAGGGAAGCCCACGCTTTCTCCCTTTCCCCCTGCACTGTCCCCCAAAATCATGGTGATCCCAAAGCAAAGCAGGGGAGTGGAGCAGCCCAAGCCCTTCCTTGCCTGCACAGCAAAGCAGCCGTGCTCAGGTTCTGGAGTCCCACCTGTGCTCCAAATTGTGGGATTTTTCTTAGATTTTGTGGTATTTTGTGAGGATTTGGTGGGATGTTTCTGGAATTTTTCGGATTTATTTGTACCGTTGTAGAATTTTCTGGAATTTTGTGGGATTTTTCTTGAATTTTATAGGATATTGAGGACATTTTGTGGGGGCTTTCAGGGATTTTGAGGGATTTTTAGCAGACATGAAGGATTTTGAGGTAATTTCTTAGGTTTTGTGGAAATTTGTGTGGGTTTTGTGGGATGTTTCTGGAATTTGTTTGGCTTTGGGGAAAATTTCTGCAATTTTATTGGATTTTTTCCTGGAATTTTGTGGGATTTTGTGGGAACTTAGAGAATTGTGAGGGATTTTTCTTCGATTCTATGGAATTTTGTGGAGATTTGGTGGGATATTTCTGGAATTTGGTAGGGTTTTGAGAACATTTAATGATTTGTGTGGGATTTTTCTGCAATTTTGTGGGATTTTTCTTGAATTTTGCAGGATATTGAGGAGATTTTGTGGTAGTTTTCTGGAATGTTGAGGGATTTTGAGGAGACATGAAGAATTTTGAGGTATTTTTCTTAGAGTTTGTGGAAATGTGTGGGGATTTGGTGGGATGTGACTGGAATTTGTTGGGGTTTTGAGAAGATTTCTGCAATTTGGTGGGATTTTCTGAGAATTTTAGGGGATTTTTCTTAGATTTTTTGGATATTCAGGGGATTTTTGGAAATGTTTCTGAAATTTGGTAGGGTTTTGAGAAGATTTCAGCTATTTTGTGGGATTTTTCTGCAATTTTGGGTAAATTTGTGGAGATTTTATGGGATGTTTCTGGAATTTGGTGGGGTTTTGAGGGAATTTAGGGAATTGTGTGGGATTTTTCTGCAGATTGGTAGGATTTTGTAGGGACTTGAAGAATTATGAGGGATTTTTCTAACCTATCTTGGAATTTTGTGGAGATTTGGTGGGATCTTTCTGGACTTTGTTGTGGTTTTGAGGAAATTCAGGGAATCGTGTGGGATTTTTCTTGAATTTGGTGGGATTTTTCTTGAATTTTGGCGGATATTGAGAAGATTTTGTGTGAGTTTTGTGGAATTTTGTAAGGTTTTCTGGAATTTTGTAGGATTTTGAGGAGACTAGAAGAATTTTGTGGGATTTTTCTTAGATGTTGTGGAAATTTGAGGCGATTTGGTGGGATGTT